TGCCATGAGAGTTCGGGGTCGTGAGTAGAGAGCCATGGATATCCTAAAACAAGTTCGTGTTTGGGAGAGTCGATGATGTAAAAGGTGATGGATTCCTTATGAAGGGTTCCAACTTGGAGGGTGAGTGTTTTGGTCTGGTGAGTGATGCCTCTTCCAATCAATTCACCATCGATTGCCTTGACTTGGATAGGTGGGGTGCACATTTGTGTAGGGATTTGATATTTAGTTACGATGTCCTGGTGGATGAGATTCAGGGCGGCTCCGGCGTCAATCATCACTGTGAGGTCAAGAGAGAGAGTATCAGTTCTTAAGACAACAGGGAGCGTGACTGACTTGTTGCTTAAAAGGGCAAAATGTTCAATATTTACCCAGGGATTCTTTTGAAGCTTGTGGGGGAATCCTAAACTGCGGTGGCCTGATTCACCGCAGTAAAAGCACAGTCGTTGATGTCGTCTCCGTTCTCTTTCACTCTCAGATAGTTGGGACGCGTTTATTTGCATGGGTTCCTCAGGGGAAGACATTTCCACAGGGTTGGATGTGAGATCGTTGGTTTGCCCATCTTTTCCACTTCTCCACTTCTCCTTTTAGGAGCTTGTCTCATGAGGTTATCAATCCTGATGGCAAGTGTGACAAAATCGGAGAAGGAGGACTCCTCACCCTTGCATGCAAGTTCTGCCTGAAGATCGCTGTTGAGACTTTTGTGAAACATAGCTTTTAGCAAGCAGATCGTTCGTCGTACACAAGGGCAGAAGCAGAGTCAATAGTGGAGAGGCAGGCAATGAGTCCAAACACAAACATCAGTCCTATCAGGCATCAGAACAAAAGGGGCAGAGTACAAATAGTGTGAGTCAAGAAGTCAGGCAGAATCATACACAGGAAACCAATCAGGAACAGAGGAAGAATAACGCTTGGTAAGGCAGGTAAACTGGCACTACTTCGCAATCAGCACATGGACTGGTCTCAGTTTATATGAGAGTCAAACAGGAAGTGGAAGCAGAGGGAGTGGAGCATGGTCAAGGGCTCCCTCTGCTGGCTTGGAAGTGAAATCAATTAATTTATCTTACTTCACTGGTGATTTCTACCTCTTGTAAGGATAGAGGAAATAAAGTGAGGGTAACTTCTTTAAAACCATCTGAGTTAAGGGTCACTGTTGGCATAGGAATATCCAGGGATGGGACATAATACAGTGCAGCAGTGGATGGCCAGCATAGAGATGGAGGTGCAGCAGAGGACGGCCCAAGGAGAGATGGAGGTGCAGCAACGGACGGCCCAGGGAGAGATGGAGCCGTAGGGGGTCTGTCAGTCACTGATGCTGGGAGAAAGTTGAAGTCACTGAAGATGTCCTTGTTGTACAGCAAGATCCCAGTGCAGTGAAATCCCTTCTTGACATTCTGAGGTGACGCTGCCAGGAGCAAGATGTTGTTGACCATCTCTGGCAGGTCATAGATGGTGATCATTGTTCCAGGATGCCTCCGGTGCCACTTGTCCATCTCACTGTTTAGGTTTTTCTTTAGTGGCCCATAAACAGTTCTATCCAGAGGCTACAGTTGGTGTGTGCAGTGTGGGGAAAAGACAATAGAACCACGCCATTCGCCCGACAGAAGTTGACAGCTTCAATTGATACATGAGAGGAGTGGTTGTCCAACAGGAGCAAGACTTTGTTGTCTTCTGTTGCCCTGGTATACTGAACAAAATGCTGGAGGAAGACAACAAAGTCCTGCTCCTGCATCCAGCCACTACAATTGAGCCCTCTGGACCACCTCTGATGAAATGAGGGAGATACTTCTTTTGTTACCCAGGGCATTTCCTGCCAAGGCCATGGTAACAAGGACCCCCCTCTCTGCAGATGTTACACTCCCAACTCTTCTCTCTCCCTTAGTTGCAACAACACGTCCAGGATTCTGGACTGTTGTTAGGCCTGTTTCGTCCATGCTCCAGATGTCTTTTGCTGTGAACCCATGCCTCAACCGGTCTGTGGCCAGCTTATCAAAGAATGTTGCCACAATTGTGGGATTAAAACTGGTGGCCCTGCTTAAACTTGTGGGCTGAGGCCTTCTTATTAAAAGGTGTTGGTGCCTTTTCATGAAGTTTGAGAACCAGCTCTC